TACCTCTCCCATCCTTTTTGATAACTGCTTCAGAGGAAGAGATCCGCCTGTTAGCCATACCAGAAAGGGGAGATAAGAAGACAAGAATTAGATTCTTGGAGGATTGGAGAGCAAAATCCTCCCTGGGATTACAAAATTCAAACTACCTGGGGATAGCCCTGGGCCCCAGGTCACACAGTGACATTGTTTCTTAAGATTTGAATAATGGTGCTAAAATTTTAAAGTCAGCTTTTGGCCCTTTTGTGGGATGGAATGAAAGGCACGTTGGGTTCATGGACATGTAGGAATGGATAGAAAAAGTTCTATGTGCTGTGTGTGTATGCATGTACCTTTGTGTGTGTGTGTGAGTGTGTGTGTGTGTACGCATGTCTAAGCACACACACCTCCAGAGTACAAAGGAATGCTCAGGAATTAAGTGTGAACCTTTTCCTAAGTGTGTTGTTGGCACACATACAAAGGGAGCATTTTGACCAGAATCACTTTTCACAAACCTGCCAGCCAAGGGCTTTTGCCAGGAAATCATACACTTGCTGGAGAAGCCTCAGAATCTTCCAGCTGCACTGAATTGAGGACCTGTATCTTGTCCTAGCTCAGAGATGAGCTGTGGAGGAAGGAGCTAGCCAGTCAGCTGGATTGTTAAAGCAGGGCAAAGATTAGATTCAAGCCTTTGAGTACGTGGTAGCAACCACATCCGGTTGATTAGATGCACAAAGATTTCCGATTAAATCACATTATTTAAGGGAGCAAAGGGACATTAGGAGACAGGTTTGATGGAATGCTGCAGGGTTTGACTTAAGGTCTGTGTATTTGATGGTCCATCCGCCTTTTCTTAGTCATGCTTTTTATATTCTCCAGAGACACCATGAAAGTGAAAAGAGGGTTGATGGTTTTTGACAAAGATCTGTATATCTATGCAGGAAAATTGTTAATTTGAATTTTTAGGTATGTGGGTGTTGAGTAATAGTAACATGTTAACAGAATGGTGGAGTTGTTAGGTGAGGAGAGTATTGAGCCTCCCAGCATGCAAGATCTAAGGCAGTGGTCCCCATCAAGCAATATATGTTATGTATAATATATTGAGTATTTAATATATGTAATGTATTTATGTATATAGAATGATTATAATGTGCATAATTATGTATACAATTATTTATATGCTATGAATGTGTACATGTTATGTATATATAAGATATAATTATGTATATATGCATAATAACCTAGATAATTATAAACTTGTTTGGGAATTTCACATATACACACTTTTGAACCAGAGGGATCAGAGCACATTTTATCAAACTCAGAAACCTCTTTAATCATGTTGTGTGCTGGCGTGAAACCACACTTGAACTTTGGAGATGATAAAATTTGTTTACCCTTAGTAAAATACGATTTCCCGTTTGGGGGCCCGAGAGGAAGAAAGGCTTTTAAAAGAGGCTTATTAAAATCTCTGAAAGTGTTCTTGGACATTAAAAAAACAAAACAAAACACAGTTGGCTGTATTAAGTGCAAATGTACTAGAAACACAGAGGTTATAGTTCACCTAAAGTATACATGAATCAGAAAGTCCAGGAAGGGAGAGATTTGGTTTTGCTGAACGAAAATAGTTGAAAAATAATTGGTGACATTTGACAAAATCAAGATGTTACCATATTTGTCAACTTCCCCTTGAACCGAACCTCTTACCTATGTAAAACCAGAGGCCTTAACCTCTAACTCACTTTATGGTGCTGGATCAGTATAATTTATGAAAACATGGAAGGTTTTAAGGCACCACAAATTCACCAGTGAAACTCTCCAGACACACAGGATGTGACCTCGGCATTGACTGACTCTTTGACATTTCATTGGTATTGCAGCGAAGTCATTTTAACAGAGGCACAGAGAACTGACACCTTACCCAGGGTGGTGAGGGGTGGGTGGTGAGAAGAGGTTAGCAGTAATTTTTGGCTGGACCCCCACCACCAGGAGGGGAACTGTGGGCTTAAGGTCTAAGGAGGGGAGGAGAGGAGAGGTGCGGAGGCGGGGAGCACAAAGAAAGGATGTGGGGGAGGAAGTGGGAGAGAACAGAGAGAGGGAGCTGAAGGAATAAGAAAAAGAAATGAAAGGTGCCCAGCCAGGAGGAAATGAGACCAAAGCCATCGCTTCCTGATGTACAAGTAGCCACAAAATGAAATGTATCAAGAAAATTCTATCAAACTCCCCAACCATTAACTTGGCAAGAAGATGAGGCTGCTTCTCAAAGAAAAAGTCAAAAAGATAAAGGAGATAGTGAACCTTTCTAACTAAGGGTATGGTAAAGAACTAACCCAAGAGGTTCCCCTTTCTCCACACACCCTTGTTTTCTCACATATGGGTTTTGTACTGTGTCAAAAAAAAAAAAAAAAAAAAAGGCAGGAATTTAACAAGTGATAGCTATCTATTTGAACACACATACTCTTTTTTTTTTTTTTAAGATTTTTTATTTATTCATTTGAGAGAGAGAAAGAGAGCAAGCAAGAGCATGAGCAGGGGGAAGGGGCAGAAGGAGAAGCAGACTCCCCGCCGAGCAGGGAGCCCAATGCAGGACTGGATCCCAGAACACTGGGATCATGACCTGAGCCGAAGGCAGATGCTTTACCGACTGAGCCACCCAGGCGCCCCATGACACACATACTCTTAAAATGCACAATATTTTACCCCGTGTTTTCACCATCATCTAGTTTTGTCATAAAAAATCATGAGGAAAGAGGCATCCCAAATTACTATTCTATTTTGGGCAGGAATCAGGGAGATTTTGAGCAAGGAGTCAACATTTGTCTTCTGTTGTGAAGAAATTCATTGGTTTTAAAACCCTTAAGGTTGGCAGGATGTAGAGGAAGGAGATCAGATAAAAGCAAAACAACAAGATGAAAACACCTTATTTCTGTCTTTTGAAAACCAGTCTCTGAGGAAAGGGTCCAGCAGCCAGCCGTTGGTGAGTTTGAGCAGTGTGGCTAAGGGTCACTTCTGTGTGCTCTACAATCCAGGATGGAAAAGCCAGCTAATCCATAGAAAAGTGAGGCTTGACCTGTTTGGTATCAAACCACACACCTTACCATGGTAAGCTGAGTGCTCAGTTCAGTATTTCTTTTTTTTTTAATTTTTCATTTCATTGTGGTAAGAATGCGTAACGTGAGACCTACCCGCTTAAGAAATTTTTAAGTGTACAATGCAGTTTTGTTGCCTATATTTACAATGTTGTACAGAAGATTTTAGAGCTTATTCTTCTTGCTTGACTGAAATTTTATGCCTGCTGATAAGTAACCCCTCCTCCCGGCCCCTGACAACCACCATTCCACTCACTGGTTCTATGAAATTGACTATTTAACTACCTCATATAAGAAGCATGCAGTACTCGTATTTCTGTGACTGGCTTTTTTCACTTAGCTTAGAATCCTCGGGGCGCCTGGGTGGCTCAGTCCTTAAGCGTCTACCTTTGGCTCGGGTCATGATCCCAGGGTCCTGGGATCGAGCCCCGCATCGGGCTCCCTGCTCGGCGGGAAGCCTGCTTCTCCCTCTCCCACCTCCCCTGCTTGTGTTCCCTCTCTCGCTGTGTCTCTCTCTGTCAAATAAATAAAATCTTTAAAAAAAAAAAAGAATCCTCAAGGTTCATCTATATTGTCAAATATGGTAGGATTCCCTTCTTTTTTAAGGCTGAATAATATTACACTCTGTGTATGTTGCCCAATTTCTTTATCCATCCATCTGTTGATGAACATTTAGTTTGCTTCCACACATTGGCTATCGTAAATAGTATTGCAGTGGATAGAGGAGTGCTTATATTTCTTCAAGATCCTGATTTCAATTCTTTTGAATAAATACTGAGAAGTGGAATGCTGAATCATATGGTAGTTTTATTTTCTTTTTTTAAAGATTTTATTTATTTATTTGACAGAGAGAGACACAGTGAGAGAGGGAACACAAACAGGGGGAGTGGGAGAGGGAGAAGCAGGCTTCCCACTGAGCGGGGAGCCCGATGTGGGGCTCGACCCCAGGACCCTGGGATCATGACCTGAGCCGAAAGCAGACACTTAACGACTGAGCCACCAGGCGCTGCTGGTAGTTCTATTTTTGTTTGAGAATCCTCCATGCTGTTTTCCTTGGTAGCTGTATCTACCAACAATGTACAAGGATTCCAATTTCTTCACGTTTCTTGCCAACACTTCTCTCTCTCTTCCTCTCTCTTTTTAAAATGATAGCCATCCTGACAGATGTGGGGTGATATCTCACTGTGGTTTTGATTTGTGTTTCCTTCATGATTAGTGACATTAATTGTTTTTTCATATACCTATTGGCTATTTTTATACTTCTTTGGAAAATATATCTATTCAAGTCTGTGGCCTTTTTTTTTTTTTTTTTTTTTTTTAGAGAAAGAGTGTGTGAGAGTGGGGGGGAAGGGCAGAGAGAGAGAGGGAGAGAGAGAATCTTAAGCAGGCTGCACACTCAGCACAGAGCCTGACACAGAGCTCAGTCTCACCGCCCTGAGATCATGACGTGCGGCAAAACCAAGAGTTGGATGCCTAACAGACTGAGCCACCCGGGTGCCCCTCTGTAGCCTATTTTTTAAAATTGGGTTATTTTGTTTGTTTACTATTGAATTGCAGGAGTTCTTTTATATTTTGAAAATTAACCCCTTATCAGGTATATGGTGTTAAAAAAAAAAAACAAAAAACACAGGCCCCAAATGGTGTCACTTAGTTAAGATTCCATTGCAGTAAACCAAGACTTACTACCTAACATAACTACAGTTTCAACCTCCTCTCCTACCCACCCCCACCCCCCCACCCCCAGCCAAGAACATCATAATCTCTAACCAGCCAAACTGGAATTTCCTAGTCAACACTAGAAGGCAATTCCCCAAGAGACCCCTTCCATTCTCCTTAGGAAGGCAACCTTGTCTGAAACAATGCATTCCTTGCTAATAAATTCCTTTTCTCTGACTTCTCTTTTCCTTTAAAAACCTTCCATTGTGTACAGGTCCCGGAGCTTCCCTCTACTTTCTAGATGGGATGCTGCCTGATTCATGAATCTTAATAAAAGTGGTAAGATCTTCAAATTTACTTGGTCCATTTTGTTTTTTTAATCAATGATTTGTAAATATTTCCTCCCATTCCATAGGTTGCCTTTTCATTTTGTTGATGGTTCCCTTCCCTGTGCTGAAGCCTTTTAGTTTGATATAGCCCCAAGGAGCTTTTTCTTTATGTTTTCTTCTAGGAGTTTCACAATTTAAAATCTTGCTTTGAAGTCTTCAGCCATCATGAGTTCATTTTTTGTGAATGGTTTAAGATAGGGGTCCAATTTCCTTCTGCGTGTGAAGATCCAGCTTTTGCAACATCATGTATTGAGGAAACAACCTTTCCCCATTGAGTGCTCTTGGCTCCCTTTTCAAGTATTAGTTGACCGTATATGCATGGGTTTATTTCTGGGCTCTAAGTTATGCTCCACTGATCTATGTGTCTGTTTTTATGTCAGTGCCACACTATTTTGATTACTTTAGCTGTGTAGTATAGTTTGAAATCAAGAATTGTGATACTGCTGGCTTTGTTTGCTTTCCCCAGGTTGATTCGGCCATTCATCATCTTTTTGAAGTTCCATACAAATTTTTGATTTTTTTTTTCTATTTAAAAAATGCTGTTGTGATTTCAATAGGGGTTGCATTAAATCTGTAGATTGCTTTGAATAGCATGGACATTTTAATAATATTCAGTCTTCCAATCCATGAAATGTGATGTCTTTCCATTTATTTGTGTCTTGCTTAATTTCTTTCATCAGTGTTTTGTAGTTTTCGGTATGCAAGTCTTTTATTTTCTCAGTTAAGTTTATTCCTAGGTATTTTATTCTTTTTTTGTGCTATTTAAAATGGAATTGTTTTCCTAATTTCCTTTTCAGAGAGTTCATTGTTAGTATGCAGATCTTTCTTGATTTACAATTATGTCCCAATAAGTCAACATGTAGTCAAGTCGTAAGTCAAAATGCATTTCATACACCTACACTATTGAATATCATAGCTTAACCTAGTCTACCTTATACGTGCTCAGAACACTTCCATTAGCCTACATTGGGCAAAATCATCTCATACAAAGTCTGTTTTATAATAAAGTGTTCAATATCTCATGTAATTTATTTAATACTGTACTGGAAGTGAAAAACAGAATGGTTGCCTGGATATGGGATGGTTGTAAGTGTACTGATCATTTACCCTTGTGGTGGTGTGGCTGACTGGGAGCTGTGGCCGGCTGCTGCCCCCCAGCATCATGAGAGAGGATCATACCATATATCAGTAACTGGCAAAAGATCAAAATTCAAAATTCAAAGTACAGTTTTACTGAATGCATATCACTTTCACATCATCATGAAGTTGAATTTCATAAATTGAAGCACTGTAAGTCGGGGACCATCTGTATAGCAAAACAACTAATTTTTGTATGTTGATTTTGTACCCTGCAACTTTACTGAATTCTTTTCTATTATTTCTAACAGTTTTTCTAGAATGGAGTCTTTAGGGTTTTCTATATATAAAATCATGTTGTCTGCAAACAGGGACAATTTTAATTCTTTTTTTCTGATTTGAATGCCTTTTGATTCTTTTTCTTGTCTAGTTGCTCTGGCTAGGACTTCTAGTACTATGTCAAATAGATGTGGTGAGAGTGGGTATCCTTGCCTTATTCCTGATTTTAGAGGACAAGCTTCCAGTTTTTCACTAATATAAGTGATATTAGTAGACTTTTTATATATGTCCTTCATTTTGTTGAGATAATTCCCTTCTATTTCTAGTTTGTTGAGAGTTTTATCATAAAAATGTACTGAATTTTACCAAGTGGCTTTTTTGCATGTATTAAAATGATCATGTGTTTTTTATCCTTCTTCTCTTAATGTGGTGTATCACATTAATTGATTTTCATATATTGAACCATTCTTACATCCCAGGGATAAATCCTACTTTGTCGTGGTGTATGATCCTTTTATTGTTCTTGAATTAGATTTGCTAGTATTTTGTTGAGGGTTTTTGCATCTGTATTCATCAGAGATATTGTCCTGTAGTTTTCTTGTGGCATCTTTGTCTCTCGCTTTGGTATCTGGGTAATGCTGGCCTCATAAAATGAGTTTGGAAATGTTTCCTTCTCTTCAACTTTTTGGAAGAGTTTGTGAAGGATTGGTGATAAAGAGGATCATAAAAGAGCACTATGAACAATTATAGGCCAACAAATTGCAAAGCTAGAAGAAATGGATAAATTCCTAGAAACACACAACCTAACAAGACTGAATCATAAAGAAGTACAAAGTCAGAACAGACCTGTAACTAGTGTGGGGATCGATGACTGAATTAAATCAATTATTGGTTGAATCAATAGTCAAAAGCTTCTCAACCAAGAAAAGCCCAGGACCAGATGCCTTCACTGGTGAATTCTATCAATTAGTTCTTTATTCTGGAACTTTCAATCCTCCAACTGTGGTAGCACATTGTAATAAGTAGGTGAGGTTTCAAGATAGGTCATTTGTCCTGCTTTAATCTTTTGTTTTGTCATATTTAGGCATAAACAAAAAGAGGAATTTTAATCCTGAGTGTCATCAACTCCATGTTCTTTATGTGAATAATAATTTTTCCTCTTTCCTTTGTCAGTGGGCTCTGGAAGGATTGTGGATTGCAACTCCTTTGGCTGAAGGAATTGTGCTCAGCTCTCTATAACTAATGTGCAGATCAGAAAAGAATGTGTGCATTGGATGATCATGTCCCTGAGAAAGTCAAGCAAACAGAGAAAAACAAATTAGGAATGTCTGTAGCTTTCCAGTTATCATCTTCGCTCGTTTGGAAAGCAGTGTATTTATGGAAAGTAAGCTTTTCTGAGTAAGCTGTTTTCTGTAACATTCCAGAAACAAGAAACTCAAGGTCTGTTTTGCTCAAACTGAAAAGAAATATGTAGGAGGGAGGGGAGAAGGAGAAAAAATAGAGCAAACAATTGAGCAAAATGCTGACGGATGTAACCTGATTTGGTGGAGCTAGTATTCTGCCCAAGGTTTTGTCTGGAAACCTGGACTAGCACTGCTGGAGCCGATACTTCCAGTCCTGGCATGATTCTCCAGTGACTTCATGATCTGAATTGATCAGACGGGCCTTGGATTCTCCTCCAGCTAGAGAGCTGAGTCCTGCTGCGCATGGTTTCTATGGTTCTATCTGTTCCCAGCTCAGGGACTTGTCACTGCCCCGGTGGGCCTCAAGCAGTCTGCTTTGCATCTTCATGCATCTGCCTGGCTGCTTGAGGCTTATGAGTTTGCAATCCCTGGATGCTCTCTTAAAGGCTGTAAACTCAGTAACGTGTTTGGTCTGAGAAGCTTCCAAAGGGACACAAAAGAACAGGGACAGAAAGTTAGCTGCCTCCAGTACATCCCAGAGCGACCTTGGCAGGCAGGGTTTCTAGCTGGCAGGCTTTCTTGCACAAACAGTTTTCATTTTGTCCAGGTGATTAAACCATGCATGTCCACCCACCAGTGACTCCTAGCCTACTCCACCCTCACGGCACCAGAACTTATAGGGTCCTCTGGAGACTCCTTGGTCAAAAGAGTCCTGAACTAGAGCTTTTCTTGTGAACTAGAACCAACACCTCCTGTCCCACCTGTCACAGCAACACATACACTCTGAATATCAATCTACACACATTGATTTCCCTCCTATCAGTCATGGAGACCTTCCATGACACCCATCCTTCTAGTCAGGGATGGTTTCAGACTCTTACAGAGATACAAAGGCCACCGTGGGGACCATATTGTCTAGGAATTTGGTAGAAAAGGAGTTTATGGGAAAGTAGTTGTTCAGAGGTTTGACTTGTCTCTGTGACCAGGGCATTGCTTTCAAGCATGAGCTGGCTCTGCAGCTTGAGAGGGGGTATAGAGCGATTTCTCACCACTGCCTGGGTATTGGCGGATATCCCTGCCTCGGCTCTGTTACTCCCATCCCAGAACTATAGAGAACAAACTGATGGTCACCAGAGAGGAGGTAGTGGGGATGGGTGAAAGAGGGGATGGGGATTAAGGAGGGCATTTGTAATGAGCCCTGAGTAATATATAGAATTGTTGAACCACTGTATTGTACACCTGAAACTAATATAACACTGTATGTGAACTATATTGGAATTAAAATAAAAAACCTAATTTAAAATTCTCATATACTGAAAATTTCTCTCCCTGAGAAAAATTCTGGTACTAGCTCTTAAGATAAAATCTTTTTCTGCTTCTGAAAGTGATATTTTTCTGATTCTACTTTCAGAAATTAAAAATACCAATGGTCTCCCCATCCAGAATTAACCATTATTAGCAGTGTGTTTTATGTCTTTCAAATATTTTTTTGTAACATGTTATGATTAGATATATGAAGTATACTGGAACCATACTATATAGTACAGTTGATTGCTGAGCGACACAGGACATTGACTGACATTGGCTGACATTGACTGACACCCCAATGTCAGCACATTAGGGGTGCTGACACCCCAGTGCAGTAAAAAATCCACATATAACTTTTGACTCCTAGGGGCACCTAGGTGGCTCAGTCGGTTGAGCACCTGCCTTGGACTCAGGTCATGATCCCGGGGTCCTGGGATCCAGCCCTGTTGCGCTCCCTGCTCAGAGGGAGTCAGCTTCTCCCTCTGCTGCTCCCCCTGCATGTGCTCTCTCTTTCTCTCTCTGTCAAACAAATAAATAAGTAAAATCTTTTAAAAAAATAACTTTTGACTCCTAAAACTTACCTACTAACAGCCTACTGGTGACCAGAAGCCTTACTGATAACATAGTCAATTAGCACATATTTTGTATATGTATTGTACATTGTATTCTTACAATAAAGTAGGCTAGAGAAAAGGAAAATTTTAAAGAAAATCATAAGGAAGAGAAAATACATTTGCAGTACTGTACTGTATTTATCGGAAAAAATCTGTGTATACCTGGAGCTTTCACAGTTCAAATCAACACTTGTGCAGTATTGCTCAAAGGCAACTGTATTCTGTTTTAGATTCTGTCCTTTCCACTTAACATTTGGTGAACATTTTCTTCTTAGAAAACAAGACTTTAATTATGAAAGCAATGAGGGCAAATCATTTTAAAAAATCCAATAAAATAGAACGCTAGTAAAGAAAAAGTCAAGGTATACACACAGTAGCCCTCCCCAGGGATAGACGTGTTTACCTGTTTGTTGTTCTTCTAAAACAATGAGAAAGCACATGTTTATTCCTCTGTTTGGTGATTTATCAGATTTAGCCTATATCTGTTCACTCTCCATAGTGTGGGTGAGGAATCTGGCTCTCTAATGTTTCCCCCATCTTTCCCGCCCTTCTCCATTCAAAAAATACTTAATTTTATTTTTATTTTATTATTATTTTTTAAAGATTTTATTTATTTATTTGACACAGAGAGAGAGATAGTACAAGCAGGCAGAGTGGCAGGAGGAGGGAGAGGGAGAAGCAGGCTCCCAATGCGGGGCTCGATCCCAGGACCCCGGGATCATGACCTGAGCTGAAGGCAGCCACTTAACCGACTGAGCCACCCAGGCGCCCCCCAAAATACTTATTTTTAAATAAGTATCCATTCTACTTTTATAATTTCAGCAATGTACCTAAGCTTCAAGTTCTTATTCCATTGCACTTCCTCATTTCCTCCTGGTTTCCATGAGGTAAGTGGAGGAAAATAAAAACCACACGCCAACTTCCACCTCTGCTTGCCCTTCACTGCTCGAATTTCAGTGATTCCATTACTCTATTTTTGGGGTTCATAACATTGACATTCTCTTTTTAAACGCTATTGAATTGGTACACTTGGGTTTGGCCTGTAGGTTGATATAAAATACTGAACACCCCGCAGTTTTATAATACTCTGTAGATGAAAAATTATTTGTCAAAAGAACAGAGTAGGAAGGTTGAACATGTGTAAGAAGAAAATGGGCAGCCTATCTCGCTACAGCTGTGCCTCTTGAAGGAGAAAGACTGAGGATTTCTGGTCTGAAGGCCTGGTTCCCGAACTCTGGATGACATGCCCAGGGGTGGTGAAGCAGCCTCACAGGGCCCGTGGGCTCTTCCAGCTTCTCCTGGGGGAGACTGCAGGCCTCACATGTGGCCCAAGGAATGCGGACAGCTAGCTCAAGGACATTGGTAGTTTTAGTGCCAGATGGAGTTCTGTTCTTTGTCCAAGTCACTGTAATAAAATAAAATTAAAACAAAGGAAGCGAATGATGTTGTATTAGTTTGCAAAGGCTACCGTAATACAAGACCATAGTCTGGGTAGCTTAACCAGCAGAAATCTATCTCTTCACTTTTCTGGAAGCTGAAAGTCTGAGATCCAGAGGTCAGCAAGGTTGACTTCTCCCGAAGCCTCTCCTTGGCTTGCAGATGATTGTCGAAGGGGATCAGGATATGTCACCCCCAAATATGCCACTTTGGACATGGACTATTTTAAGCTGAAGGCCCTTGAGAGTGAGCAGATGCAGGAAGAGTTGTCGGCCCTCCTTTATTCCCCAAAAGCAGGGCATGCATTTCCCTTTTTGAAAGTGTCCCCCACAGTGCCCACAAGGAGGGAAGGGCACTCTTAACGCCAGAGATGGGGAGTCACACCAACATGAGTTTTCATAAACAGATCTTAACATAACCCCTATCTTCCCTTAGCTCTCCTATATATTTCTTAGTCACTTCCCTGCTATTTATCACCCCTTGAAGCCAAAATGCCCCTTCCTTTGTTAAGATGGTATATAAGCTCAAAGTCTAACTACTTTTTTGAGTTTTATTTCTTTTCTATAAACTTTTCTCTGAATGTAAATATTAATAAAAATTTTGTAGCTTTTTTCTTGTTAATATCTGTCTTTTCCTCGTTTAATTTGCAGGCCCTAATCACTCAACCAAAGAGAGTAGAGGAAAAGGTTTTTCTTCTCTGACACTATCTTCTTTCTGTCCTACCATGACCTTTTTTCTGTGTACACACATCCCTGGTGTGTTTTCTTGTTACCATAAGGACACCAGTCCTAGTGAATTGGGACCTTACTCATATGACCTCATTTAGTTTTACCTCTTTAAAGGTCCTGCCTCGAAATATAGACATACCGGGGGGTAGGGTTTTAACATATGAATTTTGGGGACACAGCGCATAACAGATGGTGTCCAATTTGATTCTGATGTTTGAAAAGTTGTTCATTGCCTGACAGACATATATCTAAATAATAAGAAATTGTGTTTATTAAAGAATGAAATAAAAAATTATTTTTTCTTTCAATATATAGGCATTATTTTGTTCAAATGGCTACTGTGTTGTTAGGGCATGAACACTTATGAAGTTTTTTAACCAAACTACTTAATAAACAGACTATTGGGTATTTTTTTGGCCTGAGCCACCATGAAGTGGTTTCTGGGACTCTGAAGGTGCTGTGAATGGAAATATTTGGGTGCAGTCTCACAGGCAATCTCTTCTTGCTTATGTGGGTGGTATAATGTAAGGGATGTCCTGGCACCAAGACTGGGGTCCCCACTTTTGCTTTAGTGAACTTCCTTATTCATGCCCCAGGGCCTTCGCTCCACACAGACTGCCAAACATGAGTCCCATCTCAGAAGAGCAGGCATGATGGAAGCCTAGGTCAAAGAAAGACAAGTCTTAATTTTCATTTAAAAAATGAAAACCAAACCAAACCAAACCAAAATGATTTCCATCCACATTTGAGAAAGGAAAATCTGTGCACAGTGCAATCAGGCAGAACTAGGCTGTCCCCTATCCACACAGCCCCCTTTATTCCCAGGTCTAGAAGAAGTGAAGGAAGGACCAGAAAGGAGAGGGACAAGGAAGTTAGATGCTGGTGTGGAGTCCTTGCTAAGCAACTGCAGGGGACAGACTGCCAGATCTGTGGGTCTGTGGTCAGGGGGCCCTCACACTCAGTCCTGAGAGATATCCCAGGAGTTCAGACAAGACCCCAGAGACCTTTTGTGCAGAGCCCACTAGGACTGGATGAGAGCAGATGTGGGAGGGATTGGGCTGGGCATGGGAGTTCTAACTCAGAGTATTTCAAGCTAAAATGACTGAGGAAAAGACCTGAACTTACCTGGACATGACCTCCTACATCTTTTCCGTTAGATGGAAAGGGAGCTCAAGGTCAAAATTTAAAATCATATCTAAGAAAATAAAGGAAGATACATTTTTACATGTTTGTGTTTACAGATCGAAAATGTCATTCTGCTGTCGGTTCCACCAATTTAGGAACATTGTCTTTCTAAGAAAGACTTGAAGGACTAAAAACTCTCTGGGGTCCAATAGATCAATCTCTAGTAGCTGTTTTGGGTACTCAGACAATCTAAATTTCAAGGGAAATGTGAACTTATTCAATAATGTCCCCCACCAAAATTCATGTCTAGCAGAATATAGCCTTGTTTGGAAACATGTAATTAGTTAAGGATTCTGAGATCCCGGATTTAGGGTCAGCTTCAAATCCAATGACTGGTATCTTTATAAGAGGAAGGAGAAACACAGAAGGGCCCATAGGAGAAGGCAGTGGAGACAAAGATTGGACTTGTGTTTTCCTAAGCCAAGGATGGCCAAGAGCCAGCAGACACTGGAAGAGCCAATGTAAGATTCTTCTCTAGAGCCTTGGAAGGAAGTTGATGGCATCTTGATGTTGGACAGATTTCAAAAACCTGTGAGAATATTCTTCTGTCCTTTTAAGCAAGCTTATTGTTATTTGTTACAGCAGTCTTGGGAAATGAATGAACTCATTAAGTGCTCACTCGTATGTACATCTGTGCTCTGTGGGGCACTGTAGGAATTATGACCCATTTACTCATTTTTTTTTCAGCGAAACTTTCTTGAGTGCCAGGCACTTGTCTGAATGCTCAGGAGAGACAAGAAAATGGCCCAGATCAGTCCCCGTCTCCATGGACTTCGAAGCTTAATTGAGAGACCAAACTGCAAGAAAACAAATCATAGAACTGAAAGACTGGTGTGTATGTTGATGGAGTGACGGAGTGAAGAGGGAAAGCAAGAAAACATGGTACCCGTAAAGCCAAGCAAAAGAGGCATTTCCAGTGGAAGGATGGATCAGGGTGTGTAGTGCTACAGAGACAAAGACAAAAGGCAAGGCATGGAATACAGCAAAGTGGAGGGCATTGTGACCTGGACAAATGGGTCCTGATAGAAATGTATTGATGACAGTCTAGTCAAACTCGCACATGAGGAAGTGAAGAAATGGGCAGAGTCAACCCTCTCAAGGAGTTCTACTATCAAGGGGAGTAGAAAAATAGAGAAGGGGGACTTTTTTGATGAGTTTATTTATTTTTATATTTAAACCCACAATAGATGAGCATGCTGGTGGGAAGAACCAGTAGAAAGGAAAGGCAGGATGATTCCAGAGATGGGGAGAATGCAGGGTGAAGTCCTGGCATAAGACAGAGGGCCTGGGGCTTGGCGCACTACACAAGGGGCTGGCTAGGAATAGAGCAGGGTGTCTCTCTAGCAACCAGGGTCAAGAGGCAGGTGATGGGGAGATGTGGCGTCTCCCTTCTCAATGGCTTCTCTTTTCTCATTGAAATAAGAACCAGGGCAATCAGCTGAGGACACGGAGGAGAAGGGGAGCTGGAGAACAAAGAGAGGAGATATCTCACTCCTGCCCCACCATGCTGGTGTGCTCTGTCGGACCTCCGAGGTGCAAGGTGGAACACCGCAGGAAGAGAGAGAAATGCCAGATGATAGAAAGGTGGGCCAGTTACCCCATCCATCCCATAGAACTTCCATCAGAGTCTGTCATTTTTCTGTTTAAAACCCTCAGAAAAGGGTGCCTGGGCGGCTCAGTTGGTTGGGCCTCTGACTCTTGGTTTCTGCTCAGGTCATGATCTCAGGGTCCTGAGATTGATTCCCGCGTCAGGCTCTGTGCTCAGCAGGGAGTCTGCTTGAGATTCTCAGTCTCCCTCTGCCTCTGTCCCTGCCGCTCATGTTGTCTCTCTCTCAAATAAATAAAAATAAATAAAATCTTTAAAAAAAAATCCTCAAATGGCTCTTGGTTGCCTCCACAGATGGGTCTAGGTTCCCTGGTTTGGGCTAGATGCCCTCTGTGACCAGTGCTCCCGGTGAGCAGACTGTCCCACCACCGCTTAAGTTGCCAAGCAGGCAATTGTAGGAGAAGGAAGAGGCTTTCAGAAACCTCTGGCCATCGACCTCAGGCCTGCACCCCCCTCCCTGGTCAGAAGTGCGCGCACACTATCTAGATGCAGTACGTAGGACGACTCTGCCAAGACCTCGCTCAGGGGGTGGGGGGTGCGGAGGGCAGCAGGGCAGGAATCCTCTCCTCCCTTCTGATTCTTCCTTGTGGACACCAGGGCCCCGTGTTGTCAGCTCTTCTCAGGTGTCGAGAGAATCTGGACATCCAGAGTGTTACGTGAAAACTCATTTCTAAATAGCAGCCTACATTTTTCAAAAATGCTCTGCCAGCAGAAGCAAAGCTGTCTGCAGGCTGGGTTTGGGCCGCGAGCCACAGGTTTACTGCCTCTGGATAGGAGCTGCTGCTGTCCCCACTTTAAGTCTGGAATGTTCTCCTCTTCGTGCCTGGAAGACACTCCAATACCCCATGACTGGTGTGCGGGGGGAGGCGGTGTCAGTGGCCCAGCTCTGCAGGAGGAGGACCTAGGTGTCAATATCAGTTTGTGCTTGTTATGAGCAACTAACCCACCCTTACAGATTCCTCATGTAGACTGGGGTGAACGGAGCGGCCAGTTTTTTTTTTAAAGATTTTATTTATTTGTTTGAGAGAGAGGGAGAGAGCACACAGCAGGGGGAGTGGCAGAGGGAGAAGCAGACTCCCCGCTGAGCAGAACGCCGGATGCAGGACTTGATCCCAGAACCCTGGGATCATGACCTGGGTGGAAGGCAGCTGCCCAACCTACTGAGCCACCCAGGAGCCCCGAGCAGCGTCTTTATAACCTAGCTGAGAGGTGTTCATCTGAATGCAGCCTTAGCTGAGCTGGGGGGGGGGCATGCTGGGCAGTAGTGAGGGGGTGCTCCCTGGCTGGGGTGGGTACATGATGGCACCTACAAGTGCTCGGCCACAGTCTTTATCCTCATCGTCATTCTCACTTGCCTTCCAAGGCTGGGATGGCAGACCATCCACAGGGGAGGGCCTGGCCCATCTGCTGGTAGACATGACCCCTTGCTCCCTCCTTTGGGCCCATTCTGAACACCAGACATAACTTACTGTGGCCTCTCTGATGTGGTGTAGCATGTCTTCGTTTATATAGCGGTGGAGACTCTAGACCAACCAGACCCCAAGGACCAGAATGCTGGGCCCGAGGCTTATTTGATGGTGAATCACTAAGACTCGCCCAAGTGGCCACATGGCATTGGCTGAAGGATTTCACGTGACCCCCAGAGCACGTCTATGATGCGCTTTCTGAACTCCACACAGGACCTAGTATTAGGTGTCCCCTTGCTGGCCCTCTGTCATATGCAGGCAAGTTCTCTTGCCTCAGATCAGACTTGCAAAACTTCCGCAATTGAACTCCCACCCCCTACCCCCTAACATTTTTACAATTCTTTTGGGAGTAGATGGATTCCAGATAACCCAATGTCAGACAACACTCGGTAGGAAAAAATTTTTGTGCTAACTGTTCTATTTTGATATTCGTTCTCTTCCTCTCTCCCCCCAGCAAACATAAATTGCTTCTAAATCTTTGCCAAGAGGACAACCTGCTTAAACAGAAGCAGGGAGACTGATGAGCCGTGGCTGGAGGGGGAGTCTGTGGGATCATCCCAAAGATGCCCTACACCTTGGGTTTTGGGGGTGCCCACGGTCACTGGTAATTGTGTGCAGAAATTGGCCCTGTCCCAGCAGTCCGGCTTTAAGAGCGACAGTGAAGGGGAAGCACAGCTGTGAATAGAAAGGTAGTGCTTGGTCTCCCAGGTCAGTGACCCGCTCACCCGTTGCTCTGCGGTGGGTCCACATCTGCTTATTTGTCCTGTGGGGCAGTGGGGACGCGGGCCTTCCTCTCCTGCTGTGTGTCAGAGAACCGCTGAAAACAGAGATTCTAGGATTCTTGGTGGGACACCCATTTTAATCTGTGTGCAAGAGCAATGTGGCTGCAATCCATGAACGAGTGGCAAATGCTTGTTCGCTTTGTGTACTTTTAAGGTGTATTTAAAACCGGGTCTTTCTCTACTCCGGAGGGTGTGGGCAGCAAGCTTAAGAAGCCAGATTCATGTTTTTCAAAGTTGCACATAGTCTCGTTGTGGTGTAACTACAACAGCAAAAAATGGGAGAGAGCTTAAATTGGACATTTAGTGATATCCAATAATAGGAAATGTCTAAGTAAATTATGATACGTGCTTAAGAGAGGAGCCATGTGGCCAGCAACACAAGAATATGCTTGCCAGTTACATTAAGTGGAAAAAGCTGGAGATGAAAATGGACATAGAGCACAATCCCATGGTTGTTGTATAAAAATACTTGCACATGTGTGCAGAAAAGCGACTGAAAAGTTTTGCAGGAAGATCTTAAAAATGTCATTCTTGGAAGATAAGGTTGCAGGTAATTTAAGTTTTATCTTAATATTCTTTTCTGGTTTCCTTTCTTTAACAATGAGTATTTCTTATTTATATAATAAAAACTTAGTTTAGAGACTGCGTATGCATAACCATTATATACATTTTCATGGAAGCCGACAGGAATAATTAAAGAATTTCAGGAACTTCTCATCATTTGTTCTTTACTGGATGTGAAGATGGGCCCATTTATATATAGAATTCTATTCCATAATAAATACTACTTGAGGCAAGTTCTTAATCTGAATACATGCACCATGTTCATGCAACAGAGAATGTGTAGAAGCTTCCTGTGCTGAATCTTTTCCCTTTCTCCCTCCAGATCCCCGCCTCCCCTGGTCTCCGGCCTGTTCTGTATCCGGGAGGCCGGCCTTTGTGGACTGACTCAATGGGCTCCATAAACCTGGCTGCCAGTTGGGTTTGGCCAATGGGAAACCCTGGCAGGACATCAGAGAGAGTGAAATTGTGGTGTTTATTTCTCTCTCCCTGCCAGGTTGCTGTTGTTCATTCTGTATTTCTTTATGGAAAACCCCAGCTCCTGCCAGGTGGCTTTCTCTGCCCCTAGAAGCTCTCTCTCTGGGTGCTGGCAATCACTTCTTCCCTCACCCCGCCCAAGTCCTGGGGGGGGCAGTCAGCGCTTTCCCTTTGCTGGCCCTGAGGAACTTCACTGTCCCTTCTGGACATTCTTCTAAAAAGAGTCTCTTTATTAAACTCACTGCAAATTACCCTCCTTCAGAGTGCTGTCTTCTTCCTGCCTGGCTCAGTTCCTCGTGTGCCCAGCCCCCCGTCTTCTCTGGAGTCTGGATCAGGCCCATCAGTGTACATGCTCTGCACAGGGGGAAGGCAACCCCACCGAATGTAAAACTCGACGCTACGCAAGGACACATACCTCATAGGAGTCTTGGCATAAGAAGAAATAAGTCACCTTTTTGGGTACAAATTTTTATTCAACCTAAATTCGTGGACATACAGAGCAAGCGAACCACAAGGAACAGAAAGAACAAGATCACAGTTTTTGAGCATCATTTCTTTGGCAACAAAGTAATCACCGAACTAGGTTCCCTTCCATGGTTATGCCCCAAGAGTGGCCCAATGTCAAGCCAAGAAATAATTGTTCTCAGGCCCCCCGTCCTCATCTCTTAATCGGGGATCTTCACCCTAAAGAGGACCCTATTTGATGTCGAAGCTGCTCTGCCATGTCTGGATGAGGCCTGTAGGCACGAGGCCAGGAAGGACCAGGCTTGGCAGACCAGTGGGACTTGCCCGCCCGCTCAGAGGCTCCCCCCAAAAAGGTGCAGCTCCAGGTCCTCTCTGAATGCTGATGTAATTCATCACAACCCACATTTAAATAGATGTCTTCTTTCTTTCTTCGGTCTGTAGAGTCCAGGATCACCTGTCTTCCAAGCACGTACCTCTCAGCACCTCCCAGGGTGCTGGGTGACCAACAGGTACCCCGTAAACGCCAGCTGCCTGGCTGACAGGTGGTTCGCCCGTGGCCCATGGCCGCCGAAAGAACACCCGGACCTAATAACCAGCACACGCCTTACCACACACCAGCTGCTGTACTGTGTGTTACCTGCCTTATCTCATTCCATCCCGACCAAGAGCTCGTGAGGTAGGCAGTCCCTGTTTTATAGATCAAGAAACTTGGCCTTGGAGAAGTCCAGGAACTTGCTAATAGTCCCACAATCGTACATGCCAGAGACTGAAAACCAGTTTCTTAATGTTTCTGCCATCTGCCCTTCCTCTTGGGTGCCCGTCCCCAGGCCCCAGGATGAATGGTGGCCATTTCAGTGAACTGTTCCATTCCCTGGGGTGCTTTAACAGGCCACTTTAGTGCAATCAAGAGAATCTGAGTTCACAAATGTCTACACCGGTGAGGGGAATAACAGCTCTTGTTCAACATTCTTGTCCATGCAAGCTGCCTTCCTTGCCCCCACTTGGCCTTGCCCTGTTCCATGCTCAGTGCAGCCTGCGTGAAACCAAAGGGCCCATTAACTCTTCTCAAGGGGCCCTGCCTGAACTCGTCCCAGACTGGAGTCAGCCCTCTGCTTTACTTCCCTTTAGAAGCTCCTTTGAACTCCCAGTTTTAGAACCTAACAAAAAAGAGATGATTCTAAAATTCTGTTCACTGTGCATTTTGGCCAAGCAGCCCGAGGACATTTCCGTTGTTCAGAAGTAGCCCGTACTCTGTGCCTGTTCTATCATCCAGTATTCACATTTGGATCAATAAAATGAGATGAAAATAGCTCTTAGGGCTTGTGATAAAATTTGGACCGCAAAACCACATAAAATATTTGGTCACCAAATACTTTTTTTCCGAAGCCCTGGCATGGAAACTCTGACTTCAAGTTCATTGAAGTGGTCCAAAGATTTTAATTTTTATGAAAAGAGCATGCTGAAATTGAATCATGGTCAATGTTCTCTGTCACTGCAGGGTGTGAACATAGAAATCCTGACATGGGGCGGGGTGTGAAAGAACCACCAAGCTACACATACATACGATGCCCTTGACGATTTCTGGCTGGTTAAAATTAGTTATGTCAGGGCAACTGGGTGGCTCAGTCAGTTAAACAGCTACCTTCTGCTCAGGTCATGATCCCAGGGTCCTGGGATCGAGTCCCGCATCAGGCTTCTTGCTCAGCGGGGAGCCTGCTTCTCCCTCTCCCACTCCCCCTGCTTGTGCTCTCTCTCTGTCAAAGAAATAAATAAAATCTTTAAAATAAAATAAAATAAATTATGTCTGAGTATCAGACAGAGTCTGAGGAAAAGGACTTTGGGTGGTGGGGTTTAGTTTCAAAACATACCTTTCCTAAGGACTTGGCAGTTTCCATCCTCACCTTCATCAATCACATTCCTCATGCTCTGAAAACATGGAAATGCATGCAAAACGTTCGTTAGTTTTTCCCAGAATAAGAAGGAATTCTTTGAGATGGAAAGTAAACAGAGCTATCAAGAACATCGACCTAAATTCACTTCTCTATTTTTAAGTAACTGAAAGAAAAAAATATATTGCCCTTTTTACTTTGCTTGCTTGATGTGAAGAGTGCTCAGAGGAACACACACTTCCCACCAGATCCATCTGTGGTACTAGCTCTTGTCCATGACAGCCACAGAAACATCTGTGTCCCTTCTGAACTGAGAGTGTCATTAATCAAACAACCCCCTCAGTTGGCTTCCAATTTGTGCCTTTTCCAAATTATGGTAAAATATACATAACATAAAACTTACCTTTCCAAGTGTAGTGGCATTAAGTATCATGCAACCCTCGCCACCATCCTTCTCCAGAACTTGTTTGTCTTTCAAAACTGGAAGTCTGTACCCTTTAAACAACAACTCCCCACTTCTCCTCTCCCCTCAACCCCGGCATCCCCCATTCTACCTTCTGTCCTTATGAACTTGACAACTTTATTTATTCCTCATACAAGAGGAATCATATCAAATGTTTGTCCTTTTCTGACAGGCTTAGTCACCAAGTGTAATGTCTTCAAAGTTCATCCATGCTGCAGCTTCTGTAAAAACATCCTTTTTAAGACTGAATAATTTTCCATTGAAAGGATAGACCATTTTGTTGATCCATTCATCTGCAGATGGAGATTTGTGTTGCTTCCATCTTTGGCTATCGTGAATAATGCTGCTATGAAAATGGGTGTCCACATACCTGTTTGAATTCCTGCTTTTGATTCTTTGAGGTATATATCTAAAGCAGAATTACTGGCTTATATGGTAATTCTATGTTTAACTTTTTGAGGACCCACCATATTGTTTTCCATAGAGGTTGTACCATTTTACACTCACACCAGCAACACACAAGGGTTCCAATTACTCCCCACTTTTGTCTTTTAAAAGAAGCACAACTCAGGATTAAATGAGGTGGCCATTTTATTTGGGTTTTGAGGTTCAGTGACTTGAACCTTTTTTTTTTTTAAGATTTTATTTATTTGAGAGAGAGAGAATGAGAGACAGAGAGCAGGAGAGGGAGGAGGGTCAGAGGGAGAAGCAGACTCCCTGCCGAGCAGGGAGCCCGATGCGGGACTCGATCCCGGGACTCCAGGATCATGACCTGAGCCGAAGGCAGTCACTTAACCAACTGAGCCACCCAGGCGCCCCAGTGACTTGAACCTTAGGAACATGTTTTATAAACAAGAAAAATGGAAACAAAACTTACACGATAGATGAAAATAGGATGAAGAGATAAAAACAACTAGGAAAAGAAAATTAAAACAACACGGACACAGTGGTAGCTTAGCTAGTGATTTACACGCCTGGAGAAACTTCACAGTAACCCTAACACCAAGCACATTTTGATGGACTCTGGATTATCAGTTTCCACTGCCCAAGATCGAGTTGGTGCCCTCCCTCAGCAGTGGCTTTGAAGATAAAATCTTCTCCCTTTCCTGTTCAGGGCACACCTCCAGAGAGGATCATTAATAACACTGCACCCAGAATGCCAAATCAAGGGGAAATGAGTCCTTTGCTATACTGTAAGGAATTGCAGGACACACACACGAAGGGGCAGGGCATTTACAGGACTGTGCATACTTGTAGAAACCAACACCCTCTGTCTATCTCTTGTTCCTCCCGACTTCCTAAAAACAAAGGGCGTTAACCCCTGGTGAGAGCTCTCTGTCATATCCCCAGCACTGTCACTGTGGGAGGTGAAGCTCTGAGGGGTAACGTAGCCCAGGAGGTGACCCAGACAACACAATGGAGCTGAGTTTTGTTCTGCTGGCTTGGCCTTGAGTGATGATGAAGTTGGAGGGGTCCCATGCCCACCCTGGGAACCAAGCCACCTCCTGCCCTGCCTGAAACCTGGAAGGTTCTTGCTCCAGTCTGCCTCTGAACTTCTGCATTTGTCCCACTAAACTCGTGTGACTGTATCTGGAACACCGCATATGATGCCACTGGGGTTTAAAGAATCAGCACTGTCCATTTACGTCAAATTGGTCTACAGAGCCGGCTCTTTCTGCATCAAATCCACACTTATTTTGTTGCCATTAATTAGGTTTTAAAATTGTTTAAATTAGGCCTTTTAACTTTCAGCCTCCTGAGATAATGGAACATGCCTTCTTTTTAACACACACACCATGCTTAGAAGAGGTGATTTATTATGGAAAGGCTAGTTTTAAGTCCTGAGTAGTCTCTGGGGCCCCACTCCCCATAGCCACATTTTCTTCCTGCCCTATACTTACATGGGTGCAGGTCTGTCATTTCCTCTTAAGTCTAGATCAGCGAAGCCCAGAAACTCGATCAGGCAAAAACGCCTCGTATTTGGTATGTGATATAATCATACAGCTATCTTTTGATCTCCAGATATTGAGATTTGAATGAATTAATTTTTCATCAACCTGTGTGTCTATATATGGATATAGAATTACAGTAACCGTGACATAGCAAAACTTACCCTGAAGTTTGTCTCTAATGGATCACTAGATCTAGATCGGTTGTGCAAGTTAAAATAGACCAGCAGGCTTGGGCCATGAAATAGATCTACTGATTTGTATTTCGTTAGCTAGGGTGGCTACAGCAAGGTAGCACAGACTGGGTGGCTTGTTAACAACAGAAACTTACTTCTCACAGCTGCGGAGGCTGGAGGTCCGAGGTCAGCGTGCCGGCGTGGTTATGAGCCGGTGACCTCCGTCTTTCGGGGGGAGAGAGCTAACTTCCCCTCATGTCTTCACATGGCAGAAAGAGCCGAGAGCAGAAGCCTACTCTCTTGGG